CAAACTTGCAGATAGTACCCATTTGACCTAGCTCTGATGATCAGAACTAAACAAGAGGAAGATAAAGACATTTGACAAGGGAAGCGAGTGTAAATTGCTGCAACTTGATGAACTTGACCTTTACTAGTGGATGTAGCAGCTCAAAATACCAAGTGAGAGGAAAGAAGTCACATCAAGAATCAAACCTATCCCCTTGGTACACAGGGTTGATAGGGACAAGCAACTTAAACATTGGCTACCGAAAATAGGGCGGTTGGGTGCGGGGATATAAAGGCACGAAGTGACTGGCTTACAAGTTTTCAAGAGGGAGTTGTTTTAGAGTGTGTGGGGGAAGGTAGAAGCCCCACTGAATAGTTTTCATCTTGTCTAGATGAGTATAGTGAAATTGGGATAGGATTTTTTAAATTAAGTAGTGCATAATTGTTACCATGACTAATGGCGATGGTCACAACTGTAAAGGTAGAAGTTTTATAACAAAAACGGGGAGTAGTTAATCTTGAATTCCAGGGACAGAAGACCCTAAGATCATCAAGAGATACTAGCATGAATGGAACATGGGATCCTAACCAGAGAAGCAGCAACACCATAGACAGTGGCAGAGGTGATGACATGGAGAGATATAGCACCCGAGGACTCCAGACATATGGAAAGAGAAAGGCTGTATGCTGGCAGGCAGGAGGCTGGCTTGCAGAATGTGCCCTTTGGTTGTTTAAATGATTGTATATTCCTGTATGTTTTTGTGTATATATAAAAAAAATAAGTAAAGAGGGAATAGAGACAAATACTGTTAACTGAAAATGCACGGAGGGGATTGTAATCATTGCAATGAAACAAGATCCCCTTGGTTTAGTGCAAAACAAATTTTCTACAATATAAACCATCACTTAATTCATAATAAAAGCTTAAAAAAAAAAAAAAAAAAAGACCGTGAATGAAAATCAGGTAACTCTGGGTTTGAATCCTGGATCCACCATTTTATGCTTCTGTGATTTAACAAACTACATATAAACTGTATAAACTACATATAAACTACATAACATCCCTAAAATCATTATCTGATTTTAATATGATAATGAAATATCATTATCTGTCAAATGAGAATAATAATACTTAACTGCTGGAGTTATAAGGAATGAAAACAAAATAATAATAAGATAAAATTAAATTTAAAAAAGGAGTCCTGGTGTGGTGCTGGTTTGGTGCACCGAACTGCAAACTGCAAGATCAGCGGTTCAAAGCCACCAGCTACTACTCAGAAACACTATGCAGGTTCGCTTTGAGTTGGAATTGACTCGATGGCACTTAACAATAACAACTATTGTAAAAAATAAAAACAGGTTTTCACATTGAAAGAGACATTCTTTGATGGTTAACCAAGGGTGGGTGGGAGGAAAATGTGGGCCACTGGCTGGAGGGTTGTTGTTTTTAGGTGCCATCAAGTCGGTACCAACCCATAGTGACCTTATGCACAGCAGAACGAAACACTGCCTGATCCTGGGCCAACTTCACTACTGTTGCCACGCTTGAGTCCATCGATGCTGATACTTGGCCAATCCATCTCGTTGGGGGTCTTCCTCTTTTTCTCTGACCCTGCACCTTACCAAACATGATATCCTTCTCCAGAGACTGGTCCCTCCTGACAATATGTCCTAAGTATGAGAGATGAAGTTTGGCCATTCTGGCCTCCAAGGAGCACTTCTTCCAAAATGGATCATTTGGTTCTTTTGGTAGCCCATGGCACTTTCAATATTCTCCTCAAACACCATAACTCAAATGCGTCAAGTCTTCTATGGTCTTCCTTATTCACTGTCCAGCATTTGCATGCGTATGAGGTTATTGAAAATACCATGGCTTGAGTCAGGCGCACCTTAGTCCTCAAGCTGACATCTTTGCTCTTCAACACTTTGAAAAGGTCTTGTGCAACAGATTTGCCTAATGCAATACGCTGTTTGATTTCTTGACTAGCTGCTTCCTTGAATGTTGATGGTTAATCCAAGAAGAATGAAGTCTTTGACAACTTTAATATTTTCTCCATTGATAAGGATGTTGTTTATTGGTCCAGTGGTGAGAATTTTTGTTTTCTTTACATTGAGATGGAATCCATACCGAAGGCTGTGCTCTTTGATCTTCATCAGTAAATGTTTTAAGTCCTCTTCACTTTCAGCAAGCAAGGTTGTATTATCTGCACATGTTAATTTGGGTGAAGTGGGAGAAAAAAAGAGAGAGCAGAAGAGACACATAGAACCAGAAAAAGTAAAAATTTTAGAATAGGATAATGCCTGTTCTTGTTTCTTCTTTATTCTCATAAGTAGCTTGTGAATTTTATGGTGGTTATGTGCCATGGAGTCGGTCCCGACTCATAGCGAAGTTTATAGAGCAGGAATTTTCCAGGAGAAGTTTCAGCTCAGAGAGGTTAGGTGACATTCCCTGGGTTACACAGCCAAGGCTGGAACCTCAAGGATGGTATCTGGCCTCCTGATTCCAAATCTAGAGCATTGCCCAGGCCTGGATACTCATGTGTTAGTTTCCACTCTCTTCCTGCCTTTGTCATGTTCTCTGTTATGCTGAGCACTAGTGGAGTCAGGAGTAGTTGGGCAAAGCCCCTGGACCTTAGTGTTTAACCTTGTGAAACGGGATGGTGTAAGTTGGTTAGAGCAGGAGGTCCTGAAGTGGGGGACCTGGATCCTTAGGGTTTCATAGCTATCCTGGAATCAGAGAGAACAGAAAACAATGGAGATTATCAATGCCCACTCTCCACCCCCACGAATCAGTCATTCCCTGCAGGCCCATCTTTTAAAGTGTTTTTTGTTTGCTTTTGATTGAAGATGGATTCACTCTAGAAGTAACACAGGCGCTGGTCTGCCTATCTGGGGCTCTGACTGGGGTTGCTGATGGCATCATGGGAGATGACTGGCAGGTGAGTGGTCTAGGTTAGGGGGAAGGAGGTGTGTGGTGAGACATGTGTTGTTTCTGCCTGGACAGATCTGGGGGTTTGCCCACTGGGGCTGGGGAGGAGAATTGATTGGCAGAGAGGTCCCTGACTTGTGGGGTTATGCCCTCCTGCTAACATTCACTCTCAGTACTCAGCAGTTTCTGGGTCTCACCTGATATTTCATGGAGCTTCCAGAGATGATAAGCGTGGTCCTCGTTTTGAAGGTGGGAGAAAGCTTCCCAGGTAAGGAGCAGTTTGGAGTCTGATCCCAGGTCTGTTGGTCAGATCACCACTTGCACACCTGTGGAGGTCATTGTTCACGTGAGGTCCCATGTGAGTGCCTGGACCCTGTGCTGGCTCCCAGGCCTGTGCTCTCACCTGTACACCGTGCCATCATCACCCTGTATCTCCATGTCTTGAGATGCTGAAACAAAGCACCACAAGCCGGGTGAATCACGAGCAGGAATCCATTGTCTCAGAGCTCTGGAGGCTAGGAGTGGAATCCAAGATCAGGGTGTCAGCCATGTTGATTCCTTCTGAGGCTCTGGGGACAGAATCTGTCCCTGCCTCTCTCCCAGCTTCTGATGACTGCTAGTACTCCTTGGCCTTCCTTTGTTGCTTGTAGATGTGTCATAACCTGTGTCTGTGACCCTGTCCTTGTGTCTCTTCCAGAGCTTTGAGACGAATCAAAGCGGTTCAGTCATGGCCAGTAGAAACAATGGCAGCATATGCATTACATAGTAACTAAATCTCTTGTGTGGTAGATTTTTATTTGAGTAATAAATAGCTAGGATACCTGGTAATACAGTGGTTAAAGCACTTGGATGCCAACCAAAAGGTCGGTGGCTCAAACCCATCAGCTACTTTCCAAGAGAAAGATGAGTCAGGCTGCTTCCATAAACATTTATAGCCTTGGAAACACTATGGAGCAGCTCTACTCTGTCTGATAGGGTTGCTATGAGTAGGAATTGACTGTTAAGGCAGAGGGTTTTTGATTTGTGGAGGAAACAGGAAGTGGCGTCCAGATCAAAGATGGTAGCCATCCTTGTTGCTTTGAATGTGTGTTGGCTGCCATCTTTGATCTGGACGCCACTTCCGGTTTAGGGTTCCGAGACTGTAAATCTACAGGAGCAGAAAGTCCCAGTTTCCTCCCATGCAGCGACTGTGGATTTGAACTGCTGACCTTGTTATCTTCTCTTCTTTGATAAGGACACCACTCATATCCTACTCCAGCGTGACCTCATGTTAACTGCTAACATCTTCAAATGGATAACATCTTTTCTCTTTGCAAACCAGGCTATGTTTCATAGGAATGAGAGTTAGGGTTTCAACATGCTTGTTGGAGGGGAAACAATTCATTTTATAACCATGTGTCTTCCCCTATAGGGTGGAGGTCTGGTCTATGACCTTTCCAGTTTCTGATGGCTTGTGGTGGCATCTCTCCAATCCCTGCCTCTCTCATCACAGCACCCTCTTCCCTCTGTGTCTTTTATGAGATCCACTCCATTGGAATTAGGACTCGCCCTGCTCTAGTGTGGGAGTCCTGGTGTGATGCTGTGGGTTAATGTGCCAGACTGCAAAGCCGTTTGAACTGCAGGGTTGTCAGTTCAAGCTCACCAGCTGCTCCTCAGAAACCCTGTAAAGGGTCACTATGGGTCGGAGCTGACTCGACAGCACTTAACAACCACCACAACAATTCTAGTGTGTCCTCATGTTAACTGGTAACATCTGCAAAGACCCTATTTCTAAACAAGGCTACCTTCACAGGTACAGGGGACTAGGATGTTAGCTTATCTCTTGGGGGACTGTTCACCTTACATCACATAGTCTAGCCTTGGCTGTTTCCTCCTCCCTTTGCTCAGTTTCCCCTTTCTATTCCAGCCTTCTCTCTTGGGATTTTGGTCCTACAACCTTTCAGAGGTGGCCCTGTTCCAGGGATAGTTCTCTTCCCCCCAACTTAGGTTCCCAAAGTCCAAGCCAAGAGGATGTCTATTGCTTAGGAGGAGCCCTGGATTCATGAATGGGCACAAAGAAGCAGCCAGGCCAAGCTGGATGGTAGGGGCCTAGCATGGCCGGGGGCCAGCTGGACCCGGTACTGTTCTTTGCCACTGGAGGACAGACAGACAGGCCCCCTTTGTCTGGGAGCCTGGGCAGATCTCTTTGGTCCTCTGTTTCAGGAACCCAGGGCCTTGGTGACAGGCACCAGCCCAGACAAGTGGAGGGAGGGCTGTGTTGGGTGGGGTGGGCTCATGAATTCCAAGAGGCTCCGTGTTTCTCTAGGGGAGCATAGGTCAAAGGAGAGGAAGGAGGCCAAGGCCCCAGGCTGGGCCTGACTCCTGCTCGCTGTGGGAGAGGAGGGAAAATGAATTGGGGTGCTCAGCCTTGGGCTGGGGGGAGACCCCCCTGGGCAGGGCAAGGACCTACCCTGAGCTGGGAACTTCTCAAAACGTTTAATGTAGAATTACCTTGTGACCCAGCAATTTCACTATTAGGCATTGTCTTAGTACTCTATTGTTAAGTGCCTTTGAGTCAGTTCCGTTCAGTGACCCTGTATATAGTTTTCGAGTAGCAGCTGATGGTTTTGAACCACCGACCTTGAAGTTAGCAATTCAATGCTTATTCTACAGCCCCACACCAGGACTCCTTAGTGCTGCTACAACAGAAATACCACAGGTGGATAACTTTAACAAACAGAAATTTGTTTTCTCACAGCTTAGTAGGCTGAAAAGGAGCTCTGGTAGCGTAGTGGTTACACATTGGGCTGCGAACCCCAAGGTCAGCAGTTCGAAACTACCAGCCGTTCCGCAGGAGAAAGATGAGGCTTTCTGCTCCCGTAAAGATTTACAGCTTCAGAAACCCTGTACAGGGTCGCTATGAGTCAGAACCTACTCCATGGCACATAACAATAGTAACAACAACAACAACAACAACAACAGTAGACTAAAAGTCCTAATTCAGGGCTGCAGCTTTGGATGAGGCTTTCTCTCTGTGTTGGCTCTGGGGAGGGTCCTGGTCATCAGTCTTCTCCTGGGTCTAGAAGGTTCTCAGCGCAGGACCCTGGATCTAAAGGAAGCACTCTGATCCGGGTTCTTTCATGGGGGTGAGGTGGGGGGGTGAGGTCCCTCTAGCTCGATCTACTTTTATTTTTGAAAGCAGGAAGTCCAAGTTTTTATTAATTGACAAAGAGGTTGTTATTAATGGTAGAAAAAGGTAAAGAATAAAAGGGAGGAACCAGTTTTATAAGGAGATGCCCATGAGAAAAAGGGAAGAAAACTTTGGAAGTTGCCATTGGCAAGTCTAACTCCAAGAGAGCAGGTAGCAACCTATAATGAAAATAAAGTCTTATTTTCTAGTTCCTTGTGTGGCTCTAGTCTATCAGCTTCTTCTTTGCCTTTGATGCCTCAATGGCCAGGAACATCATTCCATTGAATATTCTTGCCTTGGGAAGATCAATCAATCTTCTCAAAATCATTTCCGTTAACAACATCTCTTCCAGAAGCTGTTTTCCATTCATTGTGTGTTCAGTTACCAATCCATTCTGTCATGCCTTTAATGACAAATTTGCTGTCCGTTTCAATGGTGAGCTGATCCATATTTTGGCTCTTTGCTTGCTCAATTGCTTTGTGGGCTGCTTAAGTTCTGCTGTTTGGTTTGTCTGTCTTCCAGAAACGCTCTCCACTTACATTTAGTGGGTTGTAGGGTCCCCAGTAAACTCCATATGCAGATGTGCACCATTTCTCGCATTCTGCAGCTACCATCAACGTGAATAGTTGGAATGTATTCTTCTCTAGCGCCAAAGTTCTGTCCACGTTGTCCCCTGGAGTTCATGCCAGACGTTTCCACTGAGATTGACCAGTGATGTCCTAGTTCCCTGCAATCTACCTCTCTCTAGCTATTTTTGTATCTCAAGAGATGACTCAAATAGAACCTAAGCCTGTAGCTTGTATCCCGCTTCATGAATCCTCCTCATTAACATCATGATGTTGAGGACTTACAACACACAGGGTAATTACATCAGATCACAATTACATGATACTGAGAACTATGGCCCAGCCAGGTTGGCACATTGCAATCCATAACAGGTATGTACACCCATAAGACTTGAGAGCTAGGACTCAAACACACACGTACTTGAATGTACCAGTGTTTCTAGCAACACTTTTCACAACAGCCCGAAGGTGAAAAGAACCCAAGTGCCCTTCACTGCATGATGGATAAACACAATGTGGTTCATCCATGCAATGGAATGCTGCTCAGCCATAAAGAGAAGTGAAGTTCTGACAAATGCTTCCACATGGATGAACCTTGAAAACATGACAAGTGAAATAAGCCAGACACTAAAGGACAAATATTGCATGAGTCCAGGAATATGAAATCTCTGGAATAGGTAAGTGCGTTGAAACAAAATAGATGAGAGATTACCAGGACCTGGGGAAGGGAGGAATGGGGAGTAACTGCTTAATGGGAACTTGAGTTTCTATTACGTTAAATTAGGGTTATGTACAGTTGAGTCGGTCCTGATGCATAGGGTTTCTGAAGCTGTATGTCTTTACCGGAGCAGACAGCCTCATTTTTCTTGGCTGGTGGAACTACCAACCTTGTGGTTTACAGTCCAGTGCTTATCTACAGAGCCACCATGCTCCCCGAGTTTCTATTAGACTGATGGATGATCATGATTTATTTAACTGACTGATGCTCTGGTGGCGTACTGGGTTATGTGTTGGGCTACAAACCACAATGTAAGCGGCTTGAATTTATCAGCCACTCCTCAGAAGAAAGGGAGCTTTCTGCTCTTGTAAAGATTTTGGAGACTTGGTGTGGCGCTGTATAATAAACCCTGGACTGCTAACCACAAGATTAGCGGTTCAAACCTGCCACCTGCTCTTCGGAAACCCTATACACAGTTGCTATGAGTTGGAACCAACTGGATGGCACTTAACAACAACAGCAACAATGATTGTGTGCTGTCTAGTTGATTGCTACTTATAGCAACTGCAAGTGACAGAGTAGAACTGCCCCGTAGGGTTTCCTAGGCAGCTGTCTTTATGGGAGCAGCTCGCCAGTTCTTTCCTCCAGCGGAGCTGCCTGGTGGGCTCAAACTAACAACCTTTCAGTTAGCAGCAAAATGCTTAACTGTTGTGCCACTAGGGATCTAGTGTTAAACATTTAGGTCAATTCCTGTGAGCTTCAAGGTGAGTGGTTCAAACCCACCAGCTGCTCCATGGGAGAAAGCTGAGATTGTCTGCTTCCATAAAGATTTAGTCTCAGAAACTCCAGAGAGCAGCCCTACTGTGTTCTATAGCGTCCCTGTGAATCAGAACTGACTCTATGACTGTGAGTTTGATTTTGGTTTATATGACAGGCAGTCCCCAAAAGATTCTGTTTCTAAATCTTTTTATTTATTTATTTTTTAACTTTCTATTGTGAATCAGGTGCACACCAACAGAGCAAATCAGCTTTCTACTCCATGATTCATGTACATTTTGTTCCATGCCATTGATTTCATCCTCATGTAACATCATTTATCCCACTTCCTTCCTGTGTTTCCCTTTCTGCTTCTTTCCTAACTCTTCTGAACTGTGTTCTTGAATAAATGCTGCCCTTCTGACTTCAAAGGGTTGATTATGCTCAGATGTGCATACTTCCCGAGTGCTCCCCTTATTGTTTGACTGGAAACTGAGCCATGGTGGTGAGTTCAGTTCCCAAATCTGGACCTTTAAGTCAAATTTTTATGTAAGTGGCAACAGTTAAGGATGGTTCAGATCTAATGTCAGTTGGTCAAATGTTTGTCTTAGTATGTAGAATAGAATGCAACTTTCTATGTATGAAAAGCATGTAAGAAACACACCCAGATGCCCTTAAACATCTTTAACATAATAATAATGCTTTTGAAAAACTTGTTATTGGGAATTGAATGCAGTTATACAGAGCAGATATCATGCACATCGTTTCATCTCAATGATTGCAGTCCCCTCGGTGTAACATCACACATCCAGCTTCCTCCCTGTGATTCTTATTTCCATTGCTCCTTCTTTCCCAGCCCTTCGTAGATAAATGCTGCCTCTTTGGTCTGAGTGGTTGACCATTCCATGGTGAGCATGCCTTACTAGTGTTGCTGCTTGGCTGAACCATGAGGGTGAGTTCAGCTCCAGACTTGAAGGGTGATCAAGAACCATTGGTCTTGGGTTCCTCTGGTCTGTTTCTGATCAGTAAGCCTGATCTTTTTTTTTTTAGTAATTTTAAGTTGTGTTCCACATTTTTTCCAGGACCTTCTAATACTATCCCTTTCAGAGCAGTTGGTAGTGATAACCAGGCACCATCTAGTCGTGGAGACTGATGTTCATGTGGACCATTGGACCAATTGTTTCTAAGTGTCATCATTTTTCGTCACTCTTCTTTCCTCCACACAAGGAGAGAAGACTAGTAGTTGCAACTAGTTGTTGTTGTGAAGTGCCATCAAGTCAGTTGCGACTCATAGTGACCCTGTACAGGGTTTCCGAGACTGTACGGTGGGAGCAGAAAACCTCATCTTTCTTCTGTGGAGCAGTTGGTGGGCTCAAACCACTGACCTTGTTGTCTGCAGCCCAGTGCTTATCGTATAGAGCCATCACACTCTCTGGATGGCCGCAATAATAATGTTTTGATATTTGTTGCAAAGTAGCCATCATTTGTTACTGTGAACCACTATTTGTACTTCAAATATTTAATGTAAATGACTTCACAGGCTTAGTTCATAACTAAGGGTTGTACATAAATAAGTTGAACATTCACAACTAGTGGACTGCCTGTATTTTTAACCACTAGGGAATCCTGGTGTGTCGCTGTGAGTTAAGCTGTGGACTGCAAGGTCAGTTTGAATCACAAGGCTGGTGGTTCAAGCTCACCAGCTGCTCCTTGGGAACCCTATACAGGGTAGCCATGAGCCAGAACCTACTTGATGGCACTTAACAACAAATAGTTTAGCACCTTGGGCTTTTAAATGAACCCAAGTCATTGTTTCTTAACATTGATCATACCAGGCCCACTTGCTGCCCTCATCTGAGGATGTTCCCAGCCCCAGTAATTTCTATTTGTGTGGTCTGGGCTGGATCCTGAGCCACAGGCATGCTCCAGAGCTTCCCAGGCCATTCTCAACATGCAGTTGAGTCCCACTGGCTTCACCTCTCCTAGCCCCACCTGCATATGAGACACCAATCTACTGCTTTCCAGAGATGCTGTGAGCTTCAAAGGCCATGA